CATAGAACTTTTGGACACAACCCACTATGAAAACTATGGCAATTCTTAGTGAAAAATGGGACACGGAGAAACAAGTGAAAGATATCAGCATGCTCAGGAAAACCCTACAGTTTTCAGTAAAGATGTACTAGGTATGTGTGAAAATGAATGAGTGAGCAAATGAGTGGGTAAGTGAACGAATAAGCAAATGAAAGAATGTACTATCTCTCTGAATTTATCTTCAAATCTCAAAGAGAAGATCTATGGAGATGTTCAGTTATCCAAAGGTGCTTTTTCAAGAGACAACTGGACTTTCTGGTTTGTCTTTGAAGATGTTTCACTTCTCATCCAAGAAGCTTCTTCAGCTCTGACTGGATCCTTCCATTCCCCACCATCCAGTCGGTGCTAAAGAAGCTTTTTGAATGGGAAGCAAAATGTCTTCAAAGAAAAAAACAGAAAGTCCAGTCCCCTCTTGAAAAAGCACCTTTGGGACTCAAAGAGAATGGTGCAAGTCTTGGTATACTGACACTGAGAAGTATGTTGAGAAAAATGGCATGGCATGTTGGCAAAGAACATTTATGTTTAAGATTTTTTTAAAATCCTGCCTCTATTATTTTCATAAATAACTCAAGGTGGAGAACATACCTAATACTCCTTCCTCTTCCTATTTTCTCCACAACAACAACCCTGTGAGGTGTGTTTGGCTGAGAATGGCCCAAGATTACCCAGTTGGCTTTCACGACTAAGACAGGACTATAATTCTCACTTTCCTGGTTTCTAGCCTGCTGCTTAAACCACTAGACCAATGACATCTAACCTTTTTGTTGCTGCGTGCCAAAAGTGTGTGCACCCATAATGCAATGGACGTGTGACACCTCCCTCACTGCCCCGCGCATGCGTGTGTGACCCCTTTATACATTCCATCCCACAGAGAGGTGCGTGCACCCCATGCACGCACCCCTCTGTGCTCCCCTGCCCCCATGCATGTGCACGCATCTCCCGCATGTGCCCCCCCCCCAGCGCTTGTACGGCAGAGATCCAAAAACCAGCTGGCCAGCGGGAGGCGCGTGCGCATGTGCAGTGGAGCTGAGCTGGGTCGACAGCTTGTGTGCCTGCAGAGAGGGCTCTGCCATAGGTTCGCCATCACGCCACTAGACCAAACACAGCTAGCTGGACAGATCCTGCAGAATTAGCAATAGCAATAGCAGTAGACTTATATACCGCTTCATAGGCCTTTCAGGCCTCTCTATAAGAAGAATTGTCTTATTGGGGGGTGAAAATGCACTACAACATTTTGTTGCAGGTCCAACTTGTTTCTGATGGAGATTAAATGGAAGGTTATTGCAGAAAGAAATGGGAATGGAAGATTGCAAAAAGAATTTGAAATAATTTTTGAGAATAATCTTAATATAGACACAGATAAAAGAATGGGTTAGAATGCAAGTAAAGCTTTTAGGACATTTTATACAGCATAATAGCAAGCTCAAAAAAAAGAGAAAGAGAAAACATAAGCAATGTTAGATGAAAGAAAAACGAAAGAAGAAAAGTATTTAATGACAAAAAGCAGGTAATGGTTAGCAATTTAAGTTGTTAGAACAAGAGCATGGTGAATATAAGATGAAATCAGGAGCACAATTGACTACAGAGGGATTTAATTTTCATGGTTTTGTATAATGGATTAATAGAAAGATTCAAGGCAGATAACAGGAAATTTGGAATTGAGCAACAAAAGACAGAATTTTGAGGATGAATTATGTGCAAACGATGAACATGTAATTGCCCAAACTTGCCAATCCTTGCTGAAATTTGAAGTGAAGGATGAACAAGTGAAAGAATGTATGATAAAATAGGCTAAGAATTTTGACATAGCATATTGTTGGAACAATTGGAAAAGTGGTTGAAAGGACTGGAATTCATATTGTTATATAATTCAAAAAAGAATTTCTACAAAATAATGTAACATTGGTATATGACTCCTAAAAAATTATCCAGAATGTGAATGTGTACTTCAAATTTATGCTGGAAATGTGGGCAGCATGAAGGGTCATTTTATCATGTCTGGACTTTAAAAAAAAACCCAGAAAATCTTGGGTTCAAATACTTACATTGATTCAAAGAATGTTAAAGACTAAGATTCAACTGAAAACAGAATTGTTCTCTTGGGCACTAATGACAGACAACTAGAAAAGAGCTTCAGAAGACCATGTTTCTATATGATCACTACTATGAGACTACTATATACACACAAAAATGAAAAGACTGTTAAACTTTACAATGGGGGAAATGTTAATGAAGATGATGGAACTAGTAGAAAATCCACTTGTTTGTTTGGAGAACAATTCAACAATTACATTTATTGGTGATTGGAAATCGCTTCTGGATTTCTTGCTGGAGAAAAAGAATTGATTTCTGATTTATGGGTTTGAAGATTAAAAAGAGTAGCTTACAGAAGAAGAAAATTATAATGTATCCTTGGAGAAGGTAAAATATAAATGCATTTATAACTACTGGAAAAAGAAATTGAAAGCCACTTCTTTATAAACTGTTTTCTTTCCTTTCCCTTTCAGCCTTTCCTTTTTTTTTCTATTTTCTTTCTTAGTTACTAATTTTCAACGTTCTTTTCTTATATTTTTATTNCTCTCTCTCTCTCTCTCTCTCTCTTTCCTGTAGGCATGGCTGCTGGGTGGTTGCAGGGAGAGCTGCTCTGTGAGGAGACAGAGTGGATGGCTGCTGGGGGAAACCCAGAAGTGAGGATACAGAACCAGGACCCAAGTTCGTTCTTTTATTTTTCGCTTTCAAGGATGCCATGTTCTTCGGAAACTTGTTTAAACCAAGTTAATGGCCTTTTAGGCTACCTCCGCACAAGGAGGAGTTCACTTTTTCAATAGTAAGAATTATATGTCATGGGGGGGGAGGCATCAGGGGTGGGTTCCAGCTTCTTCTATTACCAGTTTGCTCAGTGACGTGCTTTGGGCGCGTGTGGGCTTTGTACGCATGCACAAACGCTTGATGTGCACTACACACGCATGCGCAGTAGGTTAAAAAATGCATCTGCGCATGCACAGAAGCAAAAAACAAGATGGACCAATAGAACTGGTTCAGGGGCATGGCTGGTTGAGTTACTACCTACTCAGCTGAACCGGGTCGAAAGAGTAGATACTCACCTCTGGGGGGCATCAGGATTTTAGAGGTGCTTAGGTGGGGCATGGCCAAAAAAAAAGGTTGGGAACCACTGGGCTAAAGGATATTTCAAATTTGAATGTATCAGAAATCCCCAAAAAATACTCAACTTAAAGTGATCAGCATACAAAGCATGTCTTCATCGGAGCCCTCCTTTATTTTTACTGAAATAGTTAGTGAATGCCAAGACTCTTGGTAAAAAATATTTCCATGAACACAAGGGACCTCTTCAAGACATTCAATCTTAGTTTGTAAAGTAAAATTATTATTATTTCAGGTTTGAAATTTATATAATAATATAATCCAAAAGATTGGGTAGGAAGCTTGCTGTATGCCAGCATCAATATTTTAGTTTCACTGAATTTTTCATTGGAACTTATTTTCCCCATGCATAATGAATACAGCCTCATATTTATACACTGTTTATCTACCATGAGATTGTGGTATTAAGGTTATTTATTATGTATAAGTCTGGTGTTGCTAATTTTCTTTTCATGTGATAAAATATAGTTTCCTAATTACACATCCCATACATTTTTTGAGTGATTTTTCCACACAAATCTTCCTTCTCCCCAATTCTTATATATTCCTGGTACACTGCACATAATCCTCTTGTTCATCCTCCCAAGCTATGTTCTGCTGAGGTTTCTAAGTATGACAATATTGTTTTCAGGAGACAGAATATGAATTATGCAATTTCCAGAGTGTACGAACTGCCAAAAGAGAGTTTCTTTTGTTAGATATTAGCATTCCATGTATTAGTTCAATTACTTTTTAAGTCTGTCACATACAGGAGTGATCCAAACTTGGTGCCTTCTATAATCATAAGACTTGGTCGGGACTTCAGAGTTTTGTGGTCTCAAAACATCTGGGGGTCATTAGGTTGTGGTAAAGCTGTGCCAGGCAATTGTTTTGTCTTAGCATTTTCACTCTACTTTTAACACAGTGGTCCTTTGGAACTTAATGATCTCAGCTGCACAATCTGTGATTCTTAAAGTATAGACTCCAGGGGTTGAGTTTGAAATTTACTCTTTTGTAGACCTATAACCCTTCCCAAGCAAGAAGTTTAAAATTAGCACACAGACAAGAGGATTGCTGAGAGAATTTAACTCAGAGGACTGCTACCTGTCAAAGTAAACCTTCCTAAACTTGATGCTGTCCTTATATGACTGAAATTGTTCATCACTTTTTTTGCAATGTCAGAGGCTCTACTCTGGCATTATTGATTTGTTGAGCTGAATCTAAGTTTAAGCTGAACTCTAGTTCTTATGTCATTTAGCCTGTCCCTGTTGTTGCTTCCCATGTTTGTATTGTACCAACAGAGGGATTATTTTTTTTAATAAAAAAAGGGATGCCAAATGAATAAAGTCTAACATTATTAGAGGAATCCATATTTGAGAATTCTGTGGTGTGCAATGCTACAGTAGAAGAATCCATTTTCAATAAGTCAATAACATCAATCAATTTTAATTCACTTAAGGAACAGTAAATTACATAAACCATAATTAAGAAAAAACATTGTTCAGACTTGCATCAGCTATTGCTTCATTTTCACTGTAACAACACATAATATAGTTACTATAGGGGTGAAATCTGAGAGAAGGTCTTTCATATAGTAACTATTTACAATTGCAATGATGAACTATTTCTCTCTCCAGATCCACAGTCAACCAGATTTTAGAATACCTATCTTGCAGAAGAAGAAAGGATACATACACACACACACACACACAATATATATATTTTCAGCATAGATAGATGAGAGAGAGCGAGACAGACAGACAGAAAAATAGAATTTCCAATTTCTGGGAATCTGTTTTAAACATTATTTTCAGAAGTACCTTTGGTCGAATCATCTTCAATAGGTTGCTTGAATAAAGTGATATCTTTAAAAGTGCAAAGAAATAACACCACTTTGTCATGCTCATTTCTTATCGGTGCAATTTGCATGTAAAACCAAACAGGTGTTCCTGTAATTGAAAAATAAATAAATAAAGCACACATCACATCAAAAGGAGTATGAAAGCAGGCTCATCATCCTAATGATCACTTATCGTGTTTACAATGAGTTGTTATTATAGTGAAAGACATTTGAGTGCCACTGAATAGAATGGGAGAATTAGTCACTGAAAGAAATAGGACTTAACCATTCTTAACTGGGCAAACCATTGTGGCAATGGGTTTGATCTAAGAAATTAGCCTTAATTTTGAAATCTGCAAAAAGATGGGACTGCAAATACGGGCAGTAGCTAACCCTTCTTCTCTTCCTTTTCTGTCTCATTCTTGAATCTTTGCTTCTAGACAAGGGGATCTGGAGGATTGAAAAACTTAAGATAGTAATCACAACCACACAATCAACCACACCATCCCCCTTTAGTCAAAAAAAGCAATGCTTTGATTGCATGTTGACAGCTACCATCATGATTTTTTTTTGACATTCCCTCCATATCTTACAATCTGAGCTCCCTTTTCTTTAGTAGAGGTTACTATGTCTGTTGCCTGGCATACAGATCAGTGTGAGGTTGAAGGTGGGACTCAAATATCTCTGGCTGCCAATTCTATAAATCTAAGTATGTAAAAAGATCATTGTGGAATTAAACTACATAATCTAATCTAACCCAGCATTCTTTTTCTGACAGCCTTTCATGTGGATGCCAGTAGGTGCTCAGAAGGTGGACTTTATCACACCATCTGCTATTTAGGGTAGGCTTCCATTCTGCTTCCCCTATAAAAACGTTGATTGAAACTTTTTAAATCCTCACCACTATAATGGCATAATCTTATGACCTTTATTAGAAAGCAATAGAGAACCTCTTTCTGGAACAAATGTAACCCATTTCCTAATCATTTTGAAAATTATATTCCTTTACATCAAAGAAACCATCTGTAGCCAAAGGAAAAGAGACCTGAAAATGATGTAGGCCAGGCAACCAAAGTCATGATGAACTATTTCAAAACTCAAACTATGTATGAATATAAGCTTTACACTTTTTATAGACAACCAAAGTCAATAGACACTCCGCTCCCTAGCCATGTGGTAGCTACTTATCATGTAGTTATTGCACATAGGGAGTCTGATGACTCTCAAAGGGAAGACATGGATCGACATCAACATCACTGCACCATTTGCCCAGTGGTTTTTTGCCTACAGATGTATTAATACTTTTTGTTAATTGTCTAGCCTTTGTCCTGATCTGAGCCATAATTCCTTCGTTTCTCCAGCTTCTGCCACTACCACCATTGCTAAATTTGGTTTTGTTGTGTCAGCAAGAGAATAATCCCAAACTAATTCCATAAATTTTCCAATATTGTGTTAGACTAGAGAGAACTTGGAGAACAAATGGTTCTGGAAATTCCTTCCAGTTTCTTAATAGCTCTACTTTGGGTGACATGATTACAAGGGAAGGGGTTTAAGAATTAAACAGTCAATTGCATTCTGAGCTGCGGCTCAACTACCTCTCTCATTAGGATGCATGGGGGAAGGGTAGTTCCTGTTTTTTCCCTTCTAAAAATCTGACCCATCTTTAGAGTCTTTCTTTTGCAAACTCCTTTCCCAACCAATATAGATGGCCTCCAGACGGTTCCAGCCTGACACCAAGGTCGCTGCATCCTGGGGATGAACTGCTATCAAGTTAACACCTCAGAGTTCTCAAAACACCTATGTGCAATTGTATTGGCTACCGGTGGACCAGTGAAGAGGGGGGAGGTTTAAATTGGTAAGAATAGCTTAATGTTTTACACAGGAATTTTAGATTCCACCTGACTTTTCTGAAGTCACTTTCTCTCAGTAAAAATTCCTTTTGATAACTAATTGTTTCAAGAGTCATGCTTTCCTCAGGGGATAGCTGAGGCAGGTCCTTACATCCTGTTTGATTCTGTTTACAGACCATTGTCCTTCTTTTAGCCAGACTGATAAAGTTCCCTCTTTACAGAATTTCCTTTGAACATCCCATTGGTTTGGAAGAAATAAAAAAGGAGGCAGCTGTAATTCAGCATCAAGAACATATTGAGACTCAAGATGTAAGTTATATCATACACTTTTGTGTGAGAGAGAAAGGGCTGGTGCATATGTAACAGGAAGAGAGGGGGGGAGGGGGGAGGGAGGGAGGAAGGAAGGAAGGAAGGAAGGAAGGAAGGAAGGAAGGAAGGAAGGAAGGAAGGAAAGTTGTTTTATCCACTGCAGCCAAAAAATTCCAGTTTGATGTAGTGTTGTCTTTTTTATAAAGATAGATTTAAATTTCATAAGCAGCCTTGACAACCTGCAAAATGCTTTGCTGAGCTGCATAGCTGTGTAATTATCTCAAAATTGCAAAACTTTGAGATCAGTTGAGGAATTGCTTTGGAGTTATGATGAAGTGCTCCATCAGAGACTCTTGTCAACCAAAAACAACAGCATTAGCCAATGAAATTGTATCACTATAAATCACATTAATCAAGAAGACAGCAACTAACATAATGCTATCCACTTCAAGCAGTGTGAAAATTCGGGTAGGGCATTATCAAAATACAGGAAATAAGACCTCCGCGATTTCTGCAGATAAGACCTGTTATGCCCATTCTTGCTTAGGGTATGAAAAGTTAGCAGCCATACTTTGTAAGCAGGTTCAAAAAACTGGAAGGCACCCTCAACAAGAACTTTACTCAAGAGCCAAATGATTGTACCAAGCAGTCACATCACTTAATTTCACATGAATGTTATTGTTCACAAGATAATGAAAAACAGCTGTGTCATGTTCAAAATGTTTGTACCAAGGATGCTCAAGATGATGCTGTGACTGTAGCTGTATTAATTAAGGAGCAGGAGTGTGAGATGAAAGCTAATTTTAAGACTATCCATAATCGAAAAAGGGCATATTCTATTATATATATTCATAGGCACTTTCTTTCAAGTTGTTGAATCTACAACAAAACATTCATCCTGCTTCAGCTGAAGTGGGTTTGTGCAATATAGTTCTTTCCAAAGAATACTTCTAATCATTGTTATAGGAAAAAGACCTGGTAGTTTTTTATTAACTAATTACCATTAGAAATCAGTGTCTGAGGAAGACATACCATTTCCACTAGTCTGGTAACAGAAGTAGGTTTTCCAAAGTATTCTCTGGAGAACCGGGATTGTTTAAAAGGAAGCCATTGTCATTTCATTTGGAAATGCCTTATTGATTTTGTGAGTCTGTTTCAGAGAAAGAATTCTCTGAATGTTTCAGACTCTGATTCCAAAAAGCTTGAGGTATTTTTAGTGGCCCCACAAACAGTGGTTGTTTTTTTTTCATTTTATTTTTTTTGCCCAACAACAGGAGTCAGTTCTGCTGAGAGATGCTGGTGAGGTGGGGGCTAAAATCTTATCTTGATCATCTCTATTTACAACTGAAGATTTTCAAAACATAAAAGAACAAATTGTATATTAGGCAATGAAGTTCTACAATCTGCTAGCTCCATTCATTTATTCTACATGACAAGATTTTTATTGCTGGGAAAGTAGTTGTAGATTGCTTTCCTTTTATCGTCACAAAAGTTTGAGGACTACTGTCATACACAGCCTTCTTCCCTTTGTAAATTGGCCATAACATGCTCACCAAAACTATCATTTCCAAGGCAATTGGGATTGAGGTAACAACTACACCTCTCCAAATGTCCAGTTCTTGACAAACCCAATCACCGTTTTTCCTTGAACTGGACTTTCTACGTCTGCCAGAGTTTATAAATTCAGAGATTATATGTATTTAAAATATTTCTAGTAATTTTAATTCATATATTTACTTCAGCTTATTTTCTGTAGTTTAATGAAGAACGTAGTTTCAGAAAATATCTGAATAAGTCTGAGCCTCTGAATTATTACAGCAATGAGGGCGTACAAAGATAAAGGATCTCAGGGTGACATTGGATTTTTTAAGGATTTCTACAGATGTTTGAAACTACATTTAACCAGAATAAACACAGAGGACAGAAGATTAGTTGAGTTCAATGGTAATGCACCTATTTCCATCACAAGAACCAAGTTGATGTTTCCCATTGCCTTTTTTCAGAATTTTTCATTTTAAGTAGCCTGAGACCATGCCCTGCTTCTTTTACCATGATTTATAGTTAGAGAGTTGTTTCTTAAATTTATTACTATAGTATCCATTAGTAGCAAAAATACAGGGTCTGGACAGAAATATAAGCAAGAAAACCTCTTGATCAGGGCATGCCATACTAACACCCCCAGTCCAATTTTCCTGCCAAAATCAGTCAGCATTCAATGATCATTAATCAAACTTTACAATGCTTTTTGCCTTTCTTTCTTTTCCTCCCTCCCTCTCCACCCCTCTCTCTCTTTCTTTCTTTCTTTCCCCAAATACTTTTTAAAACATTTCTGCACACACTTGTTTATTGTGACGGTACTTCCCTCTTGGGTGCATTCTCTGTTAAAATCAACAATAAGTATGTTACCAGCATATACGATCATTTCAAAGGCAACCAAAGTCCACATAATTTCATATACGTACTGTTCTTCTTATACAAAAGGACTTCAAAGCAATTTGATTCGTAGTTGTCAAATGTCTGTCTAACTTTTTCAATCGTCTTCTTATCTGTGAGTTCCCCATACATAAAACTGGAGAAATAAAAGAGAGAAGAAAAATAATTTGCTTTATGGTCAAAAATAGGCAACCTGACATCCTTACAGACATAGTTATGTTTTAGATTGCAACATAATTGCAGCCATGTATCCTTAACTGTGATTTATACTTTGTGCGGTTCATCAATTATAGTTGCAAAATTGTTATGAAAGTCCATAAAGGGAAATGTAGGTGGCAGAGACCTTTGATGCAGGAAAAGATTTATATCACTTAATGTACCAGATGTTCTGGGCATAGGAAGGGAGGGGAAAATGGAGGAGAGGATGGAAGGGAGGGAGGGAGGGAGGAAGGAAGGAAGAAAGGGAGGAAGGGAGTGAAAAAAGAAAGAAGGGAGGGAGGGAAGGCAACAGATAGAGGGAGGGAGGGAGGA